AGACCACCAGGTCAACCTGATCAATCTGCTGATCAACAGAAGGAAACTTTAACTAATGAGATGTTTGATTCCGCCGACGCTGCAGTTCAATCAGTAACACTTCTCAATAAAACACTCATTATCTCTACTCAGGTTGGTTCTTATCATGAAAAACAAGCCGTCTGCAAACATGTGGACGACATGAGTCCGTGACAGTCGTCCTGCACTGATAGTTGATGTAAACTGGGATCATTCACAACGTATTGATCAGTGTTTCTGTTGCTGCAGCACATGCTGGTCAGAAAGCCCTGATAACTAACCGTCAGAGCATCACCTGAGCTCACCTGAGCTCACCTGAGCGCCTCCACCTGGAGGCGAGAGCAGCATGCGGGAGGCAGAGCTGGAAAACCCGTCGGCAGCAGCAGTGCAGCTGATCCACCAGCGTGTTGGTGTTTGTGTGTGTTTTAAGGGATAAAACGCCAAAGAATCTGGGGGGATGTTTATCATGCAAATGGCTGAATAATGGATGCGCTCAGAGCCGATTTGTCTCTGACGCTAATTTGTCATCGGCTTTTTGGGAGATCTATGAGCACAATAACGTGCAGCAGCGAAACACAACACAGACACACTGGCAGCGCCTCACTAATTGGTGTGTTGTGGAGCTGCTGCTGCTGCTGCTGCTATTAAATAATGTGGAAACAGAAGAGTGTCTGTGCATGTTGGCCTGCTGCGATAAAACAGGAGTGTGTGTGTGTTTGTGTGCAACAGTTACTGATGTTAATGTGTGTGACTCATAAATAAACACAAACAACAACAACAACACCTACAGTCAATAAATCAAAACACTGTTTTCACCAGGCAACCTGCTGTCATCACGTTTTCACTACAAACCACAGACCTGAGACTGATGCACCAAGTCGTTAGCTTAGCATGATGTGAGACTGCTACGGCAGACAACACGCCGCAGAGCGAAGAGGCGGCCATGTTTGGTTTCAATATGATCCAGAAAACAGAAAATCTACTAAAACCTATGAACAGAGCAAGAAACTAAAAAAAGAAAAATATTCAGTGACAAGATTATCTACAGAAAGTGGCTAAAGACCGCTAACTACACCTAAGGTCTTAGAAAAACAGCTAGCTGTAGCTAGCATTGAAAAAAGACAGCGAACTACAGCTAAAGTCACAGAAAGACATCTAACTACGGCTAAAAAGTCATATGAAGACAGCTAACTACCGCNTACTGGTCTGTACTGGTCTGTACTGGTCTGTACTGGTAGCTGCTGTCAGACTGCTTCAGAGAGTCTCAGTGTTTAAAGTGCAGGAAGCCGTTTATCTCCGTTGAACCTCCAACACGCTGCTCAGCTGAATTCAGAAGCAAACTGAGCAGAAACGTCAGCGTTGGAACAAAGTGCAGTTTGAGACCAACATCCCAGAATGACTGGTTCCAGCTGAGCTTCATGTCGGTCACGTGGACGGTCCGTTCTCTGTCAGTGGTTCCTGTCTGCTGAGGAACAGGTCCAGTTGTTCTGGTTCCTCCAGCCACTGCTGCTCGTTAGCCGGCTCCATTGAACACTCCAGTAAAACCAGCAGAACCACAGCGAACTGCTGCTGCTGTGGCGGTCCTGTCTGGTTTGGAAGCACCACTAAAGAGTTCTGCTCGTTCGTTCAGTGGTTTCAGATGGTTCTGCTTTTGTCCTGATGAACGGTGCCGTATTGTTGTCGTCGAGGTGTTTCGTTAGCAGCTCAACACAACAACAGTCGCCTTTATTTAGAGAATACGGCTGAAAAAACATTTTAAAATATGAAGGAACATAAACAGACTCTTTATTTCTGTCTGTGATTAAAACCAAACCAGAAGTCCTTCAGTTGAAGTGTTCAGGTTTAATCAGGACTAAGCGTTGGTGGAACCTAAAGCTTGTGTTCACCCAGAGCAGACCCTGTCAGAACCACCAGAACCAGCAGAACCAGCAGCAGCTGTGACTCCTGATGTTGCAGCAGCTTCTGGAGAACCTGAGGAGGCTCTTCAACAAACATGACAGAACCCAGAAGAACCAACTGAGGTCCAAACTGTGGGTCAGAAAACCACGTTAGCTTGTAGAACGCGACCAGATCCAGGATTCTGCAGCTTTAAAGGAATAATTCAACCATTTAGGACGTTGAAGCTGAAGCGTTCTTTCATCGCTTCGCTGCCACTAAACGTTTCAGCTGTTTTATTCTCGTGCCAGTTATATGTCATGAATGTACCAGACGTTTGTCTAACTGCTTCTCTACTTTCTTTTTCTACGGTCGGGTGGTTTAATCCGTGTTAGTTGATTCTATGTCGTGTTAATAACAACCAGACGCTGAAGCCTTTAAATAAATCCACGTACATGAGACGACTCTTTAGCTTTAACATCTGTTAGAACTCAGAACCTGCTTTCACACCAGTTGGACCCGGAAGCTTCACGTTTCATCAGCGGTCTTCGATCGATGCCGGACGGCTGAGAAACTTTTTCGAGGATCTTAATTCGTGATGTAACGACGCGGAGGTTCACTAAATCATCTGCGCGATTTTATTTTTAACTCGCTCTGGGATCAATTTGAGGCTTCACGCCGCCGCTCGCCGGCTGATTTCGTCTCGATTGAATTTAAAAAAAAAAAAAAAAAAGAACACAAATACATAATAATTCCCGCCCTGTAAAGCCGAGGCGGTAATTAGCGCGTCCTTGTGTTTACACGCGGCGCCGTGAATAATCCGGTTCGCTGCACAACGCGGCGCTGAACGCAGCTCGTTTCATGTGAGCTTAATTGACTCGAGCGCCGTTATTGATTTAAACTCCGCTGCAGGAGCTGAGCTCTCACCGCTCAGCACCTGGAGCTTCAGACGGCTTCCTCGTTAGCGCGTCTGAAGCCGCTCCGGTCGCACGCCAGGATTTACGGGATGATGAACTCCTGACGTCAGCGGAGGACATCAGAAACCTTCAGCGTAGCCGGGCCTCGTTTCATCACAGCGGCAGAATAAATCCTCTGAAGGAAGCAGGATCAGCGGTACCGGCTGAACACGGTCGCTGTTTAAAGCCTCCATAAACACCAGCGTGACGTTTCCGACGCTGAACGCTCACCGACCGTTCATCAGAGCTGCACTCCGGCTCCACCTTTAGTTTCCGGTTAATACGACGCTTTAACAAGTAATAAAACAGTTTAAATCCGCTCCGACCAGCTTCTCTGACAGATGCTGTAATCTGGTTCATTTATTAACGTCCTGCTTCAGTTTAATCATAAATAGTAAATTCAAAACAAGATAAAGCAGCAAAACCAGAGATTTAACTGTAAAATGTGGCGTTAAATCCTAAAGTGTGTCCGTCTGAAGGCAGCAGGTGATGAATATTGTAGCACTCGCTGATGAACGTGAACAAAAAGCAGCTTCTTCAGTTCTGCTCAGACTGAACTGGGCTGAACGCAGTCGGCAGCGTTTCACGACTGTTTGATTTGAAATCGGTTCTTCTTCAGGCAGGAAAAAAGACAAGTTCAGTAGTTTCTATCCTCTGTACCTCGCTCTGAGTCCTAAATGTTTGATGTTTAACGCTAGATGTTGGTTTTTGAGTGTGAAGAAGCTTCTGTTTTAGCATCAGAGCCTCCAGTTAGCGTTTCCCTTCACACTCCAGGCTGCAGCTCGTTTTCTCTCAGGACCAATCAGATTCTCGGGTTTTACAGCCGGACGGACACGATTGAGTCGTTTCATTTGATCCAACGTTATTCTTCTCCTCGCTGCGTTTATTTCAGGGCTTTGGCTTCTGGTTACTTTGAGAACTTTGAAGATTATTAATGAACACATTATAAAGTTTAATAGGGATTAAACCACCGGCTGAATCCAGACGGCAGCAAACGGTCCAATCTGTCCTAAAATACTCTGACTTCATACCGACATACTAAAACCAACACAGGAGCTGATGTGGTCTCCTCGTCCTGGAGATGTTGAACCATCTCCATGTCTCCAGACTTTTCCTCCCTGTTCCACCATCAGCTGGATGTATCTCCACCAGCTGGTTCCTGGTCTCTGGTTCTGATCCGTGCTGCATGTATTCATTGATCCAGTAGGCTGGATTCTCCTCTCAGTCTCTCTGAGGAAACTCTGGCTGCAGTTCAACCTGGAAACTCATGAATTATCACAATTTCAGGCTTGAGTTTGTTTTATTTTCGTGACGTATGTCACACGTGATGCATTCAAGGAACATCAGGAAAGTCCAACATGCTGTGATTCTCTCTGTTCTTCAGTGTTTTTGTGGGTTTTTTCTCTTTTTAGTCATATTTTATGTTTTTATCATCAGATTTTGTCACCTTTCAT